TCGAACAGGTGGCTCACCTTCGCCAGCGCTTCCTCTGACACTGCCACCTGCCGTCCGCGTCCCGACTGAAAACCCAACACAACACCATCTCCCGCAGCTCCATCAGCATTGCCACCCACCGATGCCGACTCCGACACTCCATTCTCCTTGGTGCTACCACCTCCCCCGCTCTCCTCGAACAGGTGGCTCACCTTCGCCAGCGCTTCCTCTGACACTGCCACCTGCCGTCCACGGCCCGTCTGAAAACCCAACACAACACCATTTTCCACAGCTCCATCAGCATTGCCACCCACCGATGCCGACTCCGACACTCCATTCTCCTTGGTGCTACCACCTCCCCCGCTCTTCTCGCTTGCTGGGGATCTGGCCTTCCCACCATGTTGGCATGTATATGTATTTTGAGACAGCATAGCCGTGCCTGGCGCACTCTTAATGATTGAGACAGGATCGCCGCGACGTTGCCGCCCCTCAGAGGCTTGTGAAAGAAGGTAGTAAAAATCGCTGGGATCTTCTCCTTCCGCGTGTCGACTCCCGCCACACGGTGAAGCATTGTCGAGAGTTAAATTGCTGGTGCTATCCTCTTGATTATTCTCGCGGGATGCCTCTGATTTCCTGCCAAATTTACCTTGACATGTGAACTGCGCGTCCTTGTCGTCTCCACCACTCTTATTCTCCTGTCTCTCTATCGAACAACTTTTCAGTGTATGATCTGAGGAAGCAATACCGGAGCTAGCCGAGGCATGGCCGACACTTGTTGACCGATGACTACTGGGAGATACTGGAGTACAGAGGTCTTCCCTCGGTAAGAAATCCTGCAAATTCCCTTTCGCCGTCAGAGCTGCCCCACCTGCCTTGTCTCCGTTTTCTTGCGTTCCTTCGCCCGTCCCGCCTTGAGACCCTCGCCAGCGTTTCCGTTCTCTTTCTGGCGCGGTCGATATTGCAAATGAAACAGCCGAGTTGTCGAGCGGAGGGTTTGTAGACACGTTAGCGCCAGGGGTGGAAGCAACGGATGCAAGGACCGTATCCTCCAATAATTCGTCGCGCAGTGCCAAAACTTTGTGCTCCTGCTCAGTCAAGTGAGGTTCCTCATGTGTGACCAGCGGCTCACTTGTTGGCGTTGTACGTCTGTCTTGCCTCTCCTGGTTCCTACTCGCCTCGTCCACGCACGGGTGAGTGTCGACTGTCGTGGGAGCTGCTGATGGTGGATCAGAAGGCGCGCAAAGCCGCTTCCTGTACGGTATTTGCCCGCGTAGACTTCTTCTGCGGGGCATTTTCTCGTCCCGGTGGGCTTCTTTGTCGACGCACTTCTCGTCTGTTCCTTCTTGGAAGCTCCCCTTGACGACACACGGAGATGAAGGCGGCGCCCGTGGCATCAAGTCAAATTTCTGCTCTGTTTGCTTATCTGAGCTCACGACACTTGCATCCACACATCCTTCACTCCCATTAATCACCATTTTTTGGACATTACTTTCGTGATTTCTTGCATTTGTGCTTCTCTCTGGCCCCTTTTGTGTCCCTTCAGAAAGTTGCCCTTCGCTCTGGTGCGCTGCCGCTGACGGCGAAGGCGTTTTTGGTTGCTGTAGATGTATCGACCTTTCTTCGCATCTATCTGGTATAACATTGGCTGCGAGATGCCTCATATTCTTTAATCCTCTCAACCTTTCCTTCGAAGCGCTGCTCCCCATAGTGTCACGGGTCCCCCTTCTCCTTTTCACCTCCTTTTCATCCTTTAATTTCTCCTTTTTGCCTCCAGATTCGCTTTGCTGTGAGACGCTCTGCTCACTTCCAGCGTCGAGATGAGCATGATCCGCCTGCAGGGCCAAAATATATTCGATTGCAGCCGCGACGCTGTCAGGAAAGGCTCGAAGAGCTGGCTCGATTAACGTGTCAGAGAACATCATGTTTTCCAGCTGCTGATACGACTCTGATTTGCGCATCTTCTGTCCACGCTCACTTTTACGGCTCTTGAAAATTAGTGTGGGAGAGAAATAATGGGATGTGACACTCAAGTAATCAGTGGTTGGGTCAGAACCTCGTAGACATAATAGTACTTACGGGTTCTGCGCTTTCTCGCCGGGGTCTTTTTGAGCCTTTCAGCTTTGATACATGAGGGCTCATCTGATGAATGCTACCGGTCGCGTCTGAATGTGTCCCTGCCACTGGACCCGTCGCGGACACGTTGGAGTCCACTTGTGGAGAGCAAGGTAAAGGTGATGCTGTCTTACGTCGGCGAGCGCTTGAAGCGCGGTCAGCGACATCTTGGTCAGGTGCCATGTCGGCAGTACTCTTTCGACCACTGCGCGGCCCCATCGGTTGAGGCAGCTGTATGTCTGCGATGGATGTTGGTAATGGACGACGATCGTTGAAAGTGGGTGAGGAAAAAGGGCATCCGGGTCGGTGAGGGGGCGAGGAGGAGGGAGGGGCGAGGAAGCAGCTGCCAGTGGCAGAGAGGGCCAGAGGTCGTACGGAAGACTTTCGTCGGCTAACGTGGTTGTCACGTTTTCTTCTTCACGGGATTTTCCACCTTGCCGTTCAATATGAATTTGTATCGTTGTTAACCGTAATTTTTATTTAAGCTAATTTGCACCTCTCTTCCTTTTTTCACTTACGAGTAGTTAACCTCCTCCTCCTTGCGCAACTCTCCGCCGTCACGTTAGAGCGCATTCATGACAATTTCAAAACTAGAGTACACTATAACACAGAAACTTACGGTCACATTTTTTAATCAACGTCTCTAAGGAGTCTTGGAAAGCGATTTTGGCATTCGACACACCAATTCACATTGCGAACAAGTTGTCCGGCATACTTGTGGAGAGCTTGTTTCCCTTAGCCAAGCCGAATCCTTTGAAGGTGGAAAAATGCATGATGAAGTCTATTTTCCGCAATTATGTTTGTTTACTTTTACCCAAGATGCTACTTTTCGAGCTGCTCTTGGACCCCTAAAGCTATTTGACCTCCAAATCTCACTGTTTTCCTTTCCTCCAGTCCTCGCGCCTTGCACTGAGTTTATTTTTCAAGACCATGACCATTCAACATTTTTCCACTTAAAATGATCACTTGTCACTGATCTGTATCTTGGGCTTGATTTGGAAGTCTCTGGTTTTCATGCTCTTATTGCTGCTCGCAGCCACAGAAGTACCTACGCACGACTTCCCTTTGTCCACGAGGGAGTAATTATGAATTACGATTCATCTGGATATGTATCGTGCGTAAGATATTATCACGGGCCGAATAGCGATAAGCACGATAAGCACATATTTGTGGGCACCGATAAAACCATACATGCAGTCACAAGTAGCATGTAATTTTTCAAGACCGTAGCCCATTTTAGAAGGCGAGTGTTTCGTGCGCCTCGTTTGAAAGACCAGATGTGATAACTTCCCCTCTGCCTTATATCTCTTCGGGCAAGGTGGATGAAATGATTAGGCCACGCGGGCCTGGCCCCCCGGGGCTAGGCCCAGAAGTGTTGGATGACGGAGTCAACTGGTAACCGGCACACTGGACACGGATCGCCACGACCTTTAAGGACCCGGGCACACTCCAAACAGCAAGCAATGTGCCCAGATTCTCCATGCACGAAAGTTGCATTCCTGCACGCACTAAAGCAAACCAAACAAGAATGGTCCTCCTTCGTCCGTCTTCTCTCGTACTGATCGCCTTTGCTAGTTGCAGTTCCAGATTGCTCATCAATACCCGCGCTTGCAGGCTGTAAAGCATACCTTATCTTTTCCGACATATCGGCAATCTGGCCCTGTTGATGCCGCTGTTGCTCGTACCGCGTATGTCTGTTCTTGCCTACCGGCTGCGGCTCAGATACAGATAAATCCATCGAAAGGGATCCTCTCCGCTCGCCACTCGTGACGTCCAATGGGCTTCCTCCATCTTGATATCCATGGATACTCTCGTCTCCTTCTCCGTCGAGCATCCCAGCCCCATGCACCGACACAAGGCCGTCGAACATGGTGCTATAATTATCCACTTCCCTTGAACACGCCAGGCCTAGTAGCTCAACAACATCTGCATCACTGGGCGGAGGAGAATTGATTCGCATGCTTATCCAACCCAAGCCATCCGCCAGCTTTAAGCGAGGTACACACCTGTAGGAGGGCGTGTCTGAAAAACGCTTTTCCGTCACCACGATCTCTTGGCCTGCAGGTATCGTGCCGACAACGCCAGAGCTTAGTTCAATTCCACTCCTAACCAGGGCACCATCTGGGAAAGTTATTCGAAATTTGAGAGGGTGTTGTAGGGGAACCAATTCGACAATCGGCCCTCGCTGTCCAGAGAGTGGATTCAGCATCTCCGAGATCCATCCATCTCGAGTGCGCAGGCGAGCAAGCCCTTGATTGTTGACACAACGCTCTAAAACCTCTATGGTACTTTGGCTTCCTATCGTGTATAAGTGCCTCGAACTTAGCTCTAGGCCGGCGCGGACATAAGCTCCATCTTCGCAAACCACACGGTAATGAAAAGCAGCTTGAGTGAAAGCTACAACGGCGGTGGAGCGCGGAGTGCTCGGTGGAGGGAGCATGCCTTGGTAATGTATATGCTGAGAGACTTTGTAAACTAGTTCGTATGTTTGTTCAAAATACGACCAAGCAGTCAAAAGGCTCCGTCTGTCGTGACGTACGAAAGTGTGTTGATGGAAAGTTGCGATGCTTGTGGATGGAAACCCGGCCACCCAAAGTTGCGAGAGACTTGCCACGAGCAGATGACGTATTTGCTTACGATTTGCAGCCTTTCTCACTTCAGTACACGCGGGCAAGAAAGGTAGTGGAAGGCATGTTCCTCGCCATCATTCTCATTACTTGGGGGCTGTTTCGTTACCAGACCCGTCGTAGATCACCTCTGCGCCAAGGCTAGCCCTGTGATGCATGAATGTAATACCTGATGATGAGTTATCTGAATTCATTATTTAAGCAACGTCCTACTGTGAGCCAATGAATGCCGCAGGGTCACATCGGACGCCCACGGGAGCGCATTTGTGAAACGCATTTATGTGGGACATCAACACTGTTGTAAGTCAAGCCGATGACAACGACATAAGACAGACATTCAATGGCGACGCAATGTATATTTCGCATAGATGACGATGTGGTGGTGTCAATTTTTCGCAAAATTCTCTTTTGGAGCCGCTGTACCGGTGGCGCGCACCCATCGATCCGTTGTGCTCATGTGGTGGCCAAGACCCTTCCCGTCAGAAACTCGTCTTGGCCTAACAAATTGTACAGTGTACATAGTATATACGAACAATTGTATTCAGCTCTTGGCGTGTCATTATCCGAGTCATGCGCAGGTCGACCAATGCTTACGAGGAGTGAGAAGGTGCACAAGTTCCACACGACATGGGCCTCGCTGCTATTCCTAGTAAAAGGGGCGGAGCGACGGCAACCCAGTTGTGTCTTCCAACGCAGCGTCCTGTGGCTTGACGCCGCAATATATAAACGCAGCAATTTGGCTCATACTTTTTCTCATTCACGCAGACACATTGTAAAAATGGGCGTTTCTCGCCAGGCTGATTGGGATGACTGCTAGTCGAGTAGTCAATAACCGTCCGGGGCTTGAAGGTCCAATTGGGAATGTTGGGAAAGTCCGAAATCCAAACCTGGACTCAATTTTTAGGCATTCGATTGAAGTCCCGCAGGTAAGAATTTTTAGGGCATGTTGTGGCCACAGAAGGCTCCTGGTGCGTTCTTAAAGGCAAAACTTGCAAAAACTTGAGAGGTTAGGCCGGGGCCCCGGGAGCGACAGAGCTCAGTGCCACAGTCGATCAGAGGCACGGATCTGAGCGCCTGAGCGCCTTGTTCTTCGTTCTTTGGGATGACAGTCTTCCTAGTAGGTTTTTCGATTAATGTTCGCTGTAAATTAACTTCTGTATTCGCATGTTCTTCCTTCATTGTTAGCAAGGCATATTTTCCCTCGATCACATTTTTTTCCTGTTATCCTCCTATCGCCTTCATTTCATCACTTACTTCCTTTTCCTAGTGCATCTGCTCTTCTAAACTCGGAGAAACCTTTCTTCGTGCACGGGTCCAGACACGGCGCCACCGCCAGCGGCAGCATGCGCCGGAGCTTGAATCGGCGCGTCAGGTCCGTGCGCGCTTGCCTGGCTAATCTTTGTACAGAGGAGTGCAAGTTGTCGTTCATCACCATGTCCGCCGTTGTTCTCAGGCTCTCTACCAGTTCCAGGTATGCGGGCACAACGAGGGGTGACATGACATCGCCCGCCTGCGGCTCCGTGATCACCCCTCGGAAAGGCTTATATAAGGCCACGACCTGCTCCAGGAGGAAGGAGTCTCCCGACTTCTGCCTTTCATCAGGTTCGGAGACCTTCTCAAACGCTGTGGGCTGGCAATCGTCGCCCAGCGCGTGCGCCGTCGGAGAGGTACCGTGCTGTTGTGTCGACACCTGTGTCTCGCGTTGATAGGCCGCCTGGACGTTGCTGTAGCGGGCGCCAGAGACAGGATTCTTGGCGCGCTTCAGAGCGCTGAGGACATCAACCTCTCCCTTTAAAGACACCGCAATGGTGCGCTGAGGGCTATGGGTGAAGCACAGCGAGGAGAAAAGGCCGACCTTGCGGACGGCTTGGATGAGTTCGGCGTCACCGTCGTGGACAACTCGGAAGATTGCGTTGACAGCTATCCCGAACTCCATCAGCGTCGCCTCCAGGTACTGCTGTACGACCTGGGCTGTTACGTGGTAGGCCTCAGCCTCCTTACACGCCAGGGAAAACTCTTTCTTTTCGAAACCGCCATTCGTACACTTAATGGTGTGGAGAACCACGCCGACGTACTTCACATGCGTGGCGTTTATCCATATGTTCAGAGAAACGCAGACTACCATGCCGCGGAGGGCCGACGGACCCTTCTGTTTGAGCGGATGGATGTTGAATAAGACAATATCCCGCGCTTCGTCACACATGGCATTTGCGACCGCCCTGATTTTCTTGATGCCGGGTATTATGAACTTAGGGTTCAGGGCGCGGAAAATTTCCTGAAAGCCCGCGCCTAGCGTCAACGTAGCGGGGAAGAGAGTCGCGGATCAGGAAGCCAACGAGCTTGGCAGTAAACCGCGCCTGTACTTTCGCCGAGTACGCGACTGTCTGGTTCTTGTTGAGTTGCTGCATGTCGGCACCGCTATCGATTATGGTCTCGCCACACCCGGTGTGGTGCCTTTCTCCACGTGCATGGGCTCCACGTGGCGTCGCAGGTCCGGGTCGACGCAGCTATGGTTATGCAGTCTTGAAATAAGTACCTTCAGAGACTTTGCATCTGTCTCCGCCAGTCTGGCGATCGCGGGGTCCTTGGAGGCGGCGGCGGTGGTCTGCACCACAGAAAATTTCATGGCGGAGGGGCACGACGTTGGCCGGTAATGTCGGCTTTTCTTCTTTTCCCGCCTGCCGTGGATGGCGTGACCCTCCGGTGCAACATCCCGAGGGCTTAACTTTTGGCCCAAGCCGGAGAGCTCGTACGCGAATCCCCGGCGGCCCTCGGTGTTGCTGGTGAAGGTGGACACCATCGTACCGTCCAACGCCTTCTGGAACGCCAGACTCAGGGTTGAATCTGCTGCCGCCACGCCTTTGTGAGGGAAGACGTGACCCTCCTCGAGCGCCCGGTGGAGGTCCGGGTATAGGAGATTAAACTCCATGTGAAATTTCCATTCCACGCGGGGGAGAGTCGACCTGGGTGGGGTGGGAGGGACGATGGTGAGAAAAAGGACGAGCGGCCGGTCCTTCTCCGTAGTAACCAAGACGCACTTTCGTCTCGTTAGTGAGACTTGTCACGTACCATGATTCTATCGGCCGCAGCGGCAAGCGCGTCTTGTTGTGCTTGATTGTCACGACGACGTCCTCCCGGCCCTTCCCCACCTGCAGGACCAGCACCTTGTCCGTCAGCAGGTTCTCGACCGCCTCCCACACCAGGCCTTGAAGAGCGCTGTCCGCCATCTGCCGCCAGGGTTCCGGCAGCTCCGAGAGCGGGACCATGGTTTGAAGTATCGCGTTGCGCCTGTTGCCAAGGTCCCCTCTCTTTACGAGCTACAGGCGCCTCCCATCGCGGGGGAAGGGTGTAATCTCGTTGGGGTTCTTGACTTCGACGGGTGACACCCACGGCGGCTCTACCACCCTCCATAGCGCTTCCTGTAGGTGGAAGTTCGCCTTGAAGGGGGCTGTCTCGGGCACCTGATGAACGGAGGTAAGGAACAAAGGGTCGAATCGTCAGGCAGCGAAGGGGCAAACGGGAGAACACGCAAGCAATTTCGGTCCTGTCTCAACTCACCAGCGGATGCAGGTACTGCACGACGTAAAGAGGCGTTGCAATGTCGCCCTTCTCTACGACGGTGAGGTACTCCCCCATGCCCAGCGCCTGGACTGTCTCTGCCGCCCGCCGGATAAGGGCCTGGCCCCGCTGGAAGGGGTCAACAGCCTCCGCCCACTCGCTCCTGTCTATGACTGCATGGTATGATATAGAAAAAGTGAGTCATTTCTGCACACGAAGCCGGCGAGCTGGCTGGGACGCTCCCCCACACTTTTCCTATTACGCCATCGCTCCCTCCCTCCCTTTTTCCACTCACCGTTACGGAGCCAAATGTCCGCGCGCGTCCCGAACATGTCAGCACGAGCGGTGATTTAATACCCTACTGCCCCGCCCGGGGCAGGCACGTATTGACAAATATGCGTCGGCGGCATGGGCATCTCCACCGTCTCCTCCGTTCCCGCCTTGGTCTTGATGCGCAGCGTCGCATTTGTGGCAGTGGTGCTGCTGCTGCTGAATGCAGCCACGATATCAGTTTCACAATACGGCATTGCACTGTGGCGTAGAGGAGAAAGAATTACAAATCAATGCCAGCATTGGCCATCGTGATGGCCACCCATAAATTTCAAACGCACACAGCCGTCGCTCAAGCTCGCTTTAAGATGGCGTGCGCGGGAAAGGCTTCGCGTCTTTATGCGCCTTCAAGATACAAGAGCGATGAGTGAGGAAAAAAATAATGTCAAGCATGGAAAAGAATTAATAAAAACAAAAAAAACAACGTCGGCTGCATGGAAAAACACAATGTAAACACATTCACGATAAATGGCAAATTCGGCTTCTCAAACGTCTAAGACAGATGTGTCAACACTAGGCGACCCGGATGTGTGTGGGGCGACCCAGACTGGATAGCCAAAGTTGGTGACCCTGGACGCGGACTTTCCCTTCCCCCGTGAGCCCTCCGGGAACTTCAACCGTGAAAATTGCGCGAAAAGGAACGCGAATCGACAACAACACGAGGCACCTAGGCCGAGGCCCCGCGCGCCTAAAACATGCCCGTGAAGTCTACCTGATATAATTGGACGTTTATTGCTCATGGTCTTCGTTGGATTGAGGAACGAAGTCGACTTGACATGAGGGTGCACATGCAACTCTTCACTTTCAGCACTTTTCACAGGACTAGCGCATGAAAAAAGGGAACGGGGTACTTACTCAGGAGGAAACGTGGTCCGCATCTCCAACGCCTCTCTATACATATTAATTTTTCTCCTTCTTTTGTGTTCAAAAGTCATGGAAGAACACCTTCGGAAACTT